CAGGCCTTGGATCGACCAGAACCTTCTGTTCGATGGTGACACAGTCAGGACAACAAATCATCCCGATTCATCCAAGGATTTTCTACCAGGTGACATCGTCCGGAGGCTGTAGCTGTTTGATTTTTCGATGGCCCGCCCCCGGCACTTGGCCGAACTGGGTGGACTCGGTATTTCCAACAGCCAATTTGATATGGTACTACTATGGTACTATGTACTAAAGGCTAGAACTAAAACCCAGTTAAATGTTAAACCCTTGGCCTTCATCTAAGAACTGACAAGAGTAGGCCAACAGGCTTTCCCGGGTGTTTAGTTGTAGGCTTGGACACTACTGGTTGCCAGCCCGAGAATGATTGCCAGATGTGCTCAACCCGTTCTCAAATGGCAGCTGAGGAAATTGGGCCTCAGCTGAGGTGCGGGAAGGGAAGAGAACTTTGTGTGATTGAAGCTCATATTTCTGTGACGGGGGAGGCCAACGCTAGTAGGGCGGAGGCCATCGCTTCTAGGTTGGAGGCCATTGCTGTTAGGTCATCGGATATCGGAGGACATTTGCCCGTCGTCCTCCCGTACCAACCCTGATTTCACGACGTCCCTCCTGCTAGGCCCCTTATGAACGGTCGACTTGCCCTGAATGGACTGGGGGTTTGGGCCGTTCTAAAGCTGCAAAAGGGTCAACCATTGTATCCAGGGCTGTAAGATATTCAGCTGGGTCACTGAGGCTCACTGAGTGCCTATGTTGAACTTGATGTGTTTTCATTGCTGGTGCTGTCATGCTTAGTCTGAGTCACGTCTAGATCCGACTTCTGTGGGATGGAATTCGCTTCATTGAGCACCTGCATCCGGGCTTGGGGTGGGCCCTAGTTTGCTGATATGCAGCTACGCATGGGGCAGCACAACGGGATGCACCGCCAGTCCTCGGCTTTCTATTCTTTACCTTAAAGTTTTAAGGTTGTTTTAAAAAATCCCGAGGTCATTTCAGAAATGTATACAATTTTGTCTTCGGAGATTCTGGGCTACAACACGGTGCAGTACTTCTCGCTCGGAACTTGGGCTTCGCTGCACTATTTGTCCGGCTGCGTGGATGGAGTCCCCCGGCCGCGGATTCCCGCACCACGGGGCTTAGGCGACACTGTTTCAGGTGAAGAAGCTGATGGGACACATACACAGGCACATATGATATAACTTAACAATACTTAACATATTTTTATTTGTTATAGCTGGTTTTCCAGTGACGCTCCTGGAAGTTCGGTTGACAGGCAGCTTCTTGTATGTTGTTGCATGTGATTGTTTTTTGTTGTGTGTTTTTTCATTTCAGTCTTTGCATATCAAACATATTTGTACCCAGCTCTGGGCTCTTCGGGCAGAGGGGACCAGGTGCTGCTTTTAGGGATGCCATTTGCCATGCGTGAAGAGACAGCTTGGGCGCATACCAGCTCATGTTCATGCTTTCTTCCCACACCATCGAAAAACGAACGGTGCGCTCCCTTGATTGTGCTCCCTTTGTGGCACAGCCGTCGCGTCCGTCACGGCCAAAATCAGGTGATGCCCGCGGTGAATTGCACGGGGCCGCCTCAGCGCCACGTGGCCCTCGAGTTGTGGGAATCCGGCGCCTCGGAGAGTCCGTGGCGCAGACTGGACGATCCACCGGGAGTGAAGTCAAACGGGAAGGCGTCCGCCGAAGAAAGTAATTAAGGAAGTAGGTTTGGGAAAGTAATACCTGAGTATTCTTTCTGTTTTTTCGACGTGCAGAAGCAGCACGAAGGTGTTATTTTACAGTCGGTAGCGGGATGTCAATGCAGGTCAATACATGTGTTCAAACGTCCATGTTCGATCTACTCCAAGAGGGGCACTTGATTCAACAAACGGAAGTGGATAGAAGCCCCTTTTCCTCTCACAAAGGCCAAGCGGGGCACCTGCACTTCCAGGATGAGCCTCACCGTGGACGATAGTTCACCGTTGGCGGTTCTAAGCTCTAGTGGCAGCATTTTAAGATGATGAACCAACAGTTTCAATGCTACGCAAAACTCAAAATCAATATGAACATATATGAACACACAAATCATCAAACACCATGATGAACAGAATAGCAAAAACATCATCAAGGCAAGGTGTTGTTCCTTAAATATGTTTCTTGGATTATGGATGTTCTGTTTTCTTACTGTAACTGCTTATGTTTGAATCAGGAACCCCTGCATACAGGGTCAGGAGCAAAAACCTACTGAGTCCCAGACTGGCATCAACAAATGTTTGGACGAAAAAGTGTAATGACTCAACATGACCGCAACTTTTGCATGCTTGATGATTTCTATTTTGATAGATGAGGCTGGATGAAAAATAGAACAAAAAAAGACAAACAGAGCATCCTGCCTTAACGTACGCTTGTTTGCTTGTTGTTTTCAATGTATTTTTCCTATTTTTTACGACTGTTTCATGACTACATGTTCGTCATGGTCGCTATTTATTTACAGTACAGTAATTAAGGATTTTCATGGACACCCAGACTAATTTTATGTAACTTGTTTTTTCTTGACTGGACACGAGTCTTCCCTGGTCACATAGTACTGACCATTTTTGACCAACATGAGCGTGCTTAACGTTTCTTCTGGGTAGCAACGGGGATGTATTGACTGAGCGGCTTGTTTGATAGAGATCCCCATCCTCGCTTGCACAGACGCCGCTGAAGAGGCCACAAACTCCAGAATGACCAGATGACTTCGAATCTACTTGGTATTGCTCCTGGGTACCGGATCCGATTCCATCCAATTCGACTGACTTCTCTCTAAAGACTACATCCCAAATCCACTTCAATCAGTCGGGTTCTAAAACCTCTGGATTCTTCTACAGCAAGAAGGTATATAATCAATATATTGCTAACGATGGTATTACGGATCGTTTCGATGTTCTGGCCCAAAACAAAGCGGAACGATGTGGATTCGTTTTGCTGTGACCAGGCTGGCAAGATCCTGACTGGCTCGCAAAGGCAGACTTCTTGGGCAGCGAGCGTGCTGTCCAGACTTCAGGACTCTTTGCTCGACTTGGGCGCATGTGTTACTTCCATCCGGGGCACATCTCCGGAAGGAAAGCTCCATATTTAATATATCTGTTGAATTTTGGGGAGTTGGAGCGCAGGAGAGGGGTTCGCAGCCGGTTCCTTGTGTTCGCTTGTGTTAAAACCCAACATAGTTCCCAACATTGGTAAGGCTGTGACAGTGACAACACGTGACGACTATATAGTTGGGAGTAGGTTGGAGGCCATCGCTACTAGGTTGGAGTAGGCTGCTGCAGCGAAAAAGCACTCCTCAATAGGCATGGGCCGTCAAGTCACATGACAACTCCTGAGAAGCCGCTGAGATCATCAGCAACAAATAGCTCACAACGGATTCCACCAAACCTGTACATCCTGTATGCTCACCACACCTACACTCAGTGCTACTCTCCCCCAAAGCTAGCTTAGAAATCGATAGGTCCAACGTCCCCCAGGATCACTAGAACAATTATCCAAACCCATTCTGGCATAGTCGCGGTTTCCATATTGCTTCAGCAAAAGGCAAGGGTACTCACATGTACTCCCTACAATTATACAATTTCAATCCTCCTTGCATTTCTCACTCTAAAATGAGGGGCTTGAGCCCTGGATTTGCTACCATTTTAGGTAAGAAACTTTTGCCTATAAAATGCCATCTATTTTTGATGGGATACAGGTGAGTAACTTCTTCAATTTTAGAGTATTTTTCTTATTTTGTTCAGCAAAAAAGTTAACATGAAAAGTTACATTTTAGAGAATATTTCTTGTTGTTCAGGGTTCAAGATTTGAAATATAGAGTCAACTAGAGGTGGAGCCAGGCTTCATGGTGAATCTTTTAGTGAATGGGTTCACATACTTCACAAGCTTGGTTTTGAATTGTTTAGTGAATATGTTCAATGTCAAGACACTGATTTGGATTCTATAGAGTGAGATGGAGTGAGATGCTGCCACCCAAACGACAGAGTGAGATGGAGTGAGGAGTGAGTAAATTCAGGAGGACAATCTCTATGTTCCGCTAGCTTTTGAAAGACCTTAGAGACCAAGTGGGGAGCTTGGAAAAAGTGGTCGCTTCATGCTTGAAGTCTCTCGGAAATCGGGAAACGTTGTTGACATGTGTTGACTGATGTTGACTGCTGTTGCATCATGTTGCATCTGATCTCTCTAAAATGACCTCCTCCCACTCTGAAATGGAGGTCCTCTAGAATTGAATTTTTCACATGTTTTTTGACCACCACACGCTGCTTGAGACCTTCATTTTAGAGTGGAGGTACTGGGGGTCAAAAGTGCTCACTTCTCAGGGTTGGGCCCCCATTTTAGAGACTTCTCAGGGTTGGGCCCCTATTTTAGAGTGGACTGAATCTAATGGGTCTTGAATTTTATAGACAGTTTCTAGTAGTCCAAATAGCTTTAGGTCTCTAAAATGAGGGGCTCCACCCCTGCAGGGAACTCCTACGGGGATCAATTTCATATATAATATATATAATATATAGTATGTATTTAATATAGTATGTACATGGTTTTCAAAAGAGTCCATCATGGCCCCGTTGACGGAACCGACGAGGAAGCATGGGATTCTCCGGAGTCGAGGGCATGTTCGTCATGGGCCGCACCCGGCAGAATGCCCTGGAACGCTCCGGGCTGCACCTATCCTATTATGGTCACCTGGTGAAATGCTGCGAGTGAAGGTCTGGAAGCTACGGCCAACCGTTCCTGCTGAAGTGACAAAGACTTTAAAAGGCAATTGTTGGTGCCATTTCCAAGGTGCGGGTAATGTCTTTCAGATTGTTTCCGAATATTATTCTGTGTGTTCTGCGTATTCTGGCTGTATTGGAACAACAACCATGTTTTCCCGGGCTTTCGACGTGGCATAGCACCGTTCTCTCGTCCACTGGGGTGACGGTCGAACACGCAGACAACAAACGGTTATGCAATGCGGGATGACAGATGCACGGTTTGAGACGTGTTCATCGTTTGTGCAATCATGAGATCATATAGATTTGGGGATCAGTAGATCATCAGTAGATGCACCATCAATTACACTTTGACCTAAGGCTTCAACTCTTTTGTCACTGCCATTTGCCAATTAAATAGGCCAAACTGGGTTTCTAAGGGTTATACCACTAGCTCGGCAAATATGGAAGTGGATTCCATGGTTCCCAGTGGGTGCTATTCCGAAAAGAGCATCAACCGGGTGACATAAGATCCACCGTTCTGAGGCAATTTCAATGCTTCATGGTTCAACCCGGCGGACTACGCGCCCCATGTGTCAGAGGTGAACATGAGCAAGCTGTTGACCTGTGCAGCTCCGTGTTTGCAAGCGACCCCCTGGTTGGTTGGAAGTGATTCAGAATGTAGCTCCAGTTCCTTCTTTTCTCGTTTTCATTTTTCAACTGCCTTACATGAACTATAGGCCCGTAGGCATGCATAGGTGGTCTTCTGTTGAAACCGCGAGGGGAGGGAATCTTTGGCTAGATACGAGCGAGATCGCAGAATCCCTCATATCATGTGATTCTAAACACCCTGACTGACTTGAGCAAGGAGCTTCAAGAGTTCTGCTTCTTGCATCCGAGTTGTGCTGGTTTACCAGTATCTCCAGGACTTTGTCATTGGAAAACATGGACAGGTTGGAATGCACAAGTCGGTTGCTCCTACAATCTCTCAACGGGTTTTACGGTTGGTTGATATGATGTGGACAGGCCACCAATGGGATGAATTGTTTTGCCCTGCCTAGGAGATCGTGGGTGAATTTCCTTGCTCTATCACAAAACACGAGCCGAACCTTCCGAGGGAGAATCAAGTGACTCAAGTGCATTGAATGTATTATTGGACCAGACTGCCAGACCAAAGGGATCCAAAATCAGAGGCGCCAGCCGCACCAAAATCGTGTACAGTACGACGAGATGCTCTTGAAAACACGGATTTTGGGGCATTCCAAGGAGTTTACGTTGCGGTTTTTCTTCGCACAAGACGCCCCAGGAATCCAACCCCCCTGGGGCGCAGAACTATATCCAAGCGACTGGTGATGCTGATGGTGTGGAGACACGCAACGGTGTGCAACTCGGACCCCCAAAAAGGCTCTTTTCTGTCACACCGTCCAAGAGGAAGGTGTTTACTTTGCTGTGGTTGCATTGTTGGATGATGTTGGATCCCCATCCAAAGCGACGACAAAGACGCCCCCCAGCCTGTGAAGGATGTTTTGGTTCGAAGGGTGAGAATTCCACGACCAGGTGGGGCTATGTTGGCCTTCTCTTCACTTAGAGTAAGCTGTAGTAACTAGTAGCGAACATTGCTCCTAGTAGTATGGCCAGGAGCCCCTAGTAGCGTCCTTGCTCCTAGTAGCGATGCCCATTGCTCCTAGTAGCTTCTTGCTCCTAGTAAGCGTTGTGTCCCAGTTCCTCTAGTCAGTCTTGGGGCAGGGAGTCATGGCCGGAAGACTCCCGCCACAACGCGGGTGGGAATGTCATGGCACCGCAGTCAACCAATTCAATAGTTAAACAGGTGAAAAGACCTAGCCGCAGCCGCAATATGCTGCATCGATGTGTGCTTAGGCAAACACATGTTTTTCGTTGTTTTTAGCAGGGCGTTCCAGCCTTGAACGGAACGGTGAGTGAATCAGACTGATTGACTTTGACTTTCGCTGTGTCCATCAAATAGTAGACCATGACATACCATGCAACCCTTTTTCCAAAGGCCCCTGTTCAATGATAGAAAGTTGGCAAAGTTGGTTCCTCTTGAGGCCACAGGAGAGTCCTCAAGAGAGCTAAATAACCTAGCCGAAAGGGATCGCACCTTGATTTTGAAGCTTTGACCTCGGAAATGTTGCAGAGATTCTAAGCATTTGGTAAGTTTCTAGCCAGATTTGCCTTGAGCAACTGAGGATCGTATACAAATGCTGGCAAGAGAAGTGGTGGGTAGCTCCTGCTTGCCGAAACAATCCGAGCAGCTGCATTGCGGTGATTACCCTTCGGGGATGGGGCAACCGAGAAATCTCTCAGCAGGCGTTCTTCCACAACATGCCTCTGGCCATTGCCAGTGCATTGGAGTTTCCCGAATATGTGGAGCTCAACGTCGCTGGCTTAGAGAAACCGCTCTTGGAATTTGGATCAGTCGAGGAACCTGTATAGTTCATACCATAATCATCCCCCAAAGGTAGCTTGGATTTTGGCGACCAGGAGAGGTTGTAAAGGACATGAACTCCATACCCAGTTGGAGTCAATCGGGTGAACCCGGTCAGACCCGGGTTCCTCACCCTTGAGCCTTGGTTGTTTCGGGCAGGTCGACGGTGGTTTTGGGCGCCCAGGTGCAACATCAGTCGTTTCTTTTTTGGTGGACTCCGGACTCCACCTTCGTGGAGTATGATGCGGTGTTGGTGGAAATGCCACCATGGAACCCCTCAGAGCAAAAGCAGGGAATTCTGAGATCATCAATGGAAGCTTGGGTTTCAAGTACATGCTGGGATCGTTGGGGTGCTGATGGGGGAGCAGTCGTTGGCACGACTGCTTTACAGACACGTGATGAAAGCCCTTGAAACAGTCCAATGCATGGCGATTGCATGCGATTGCGAAGTAGGTTCATTCACTGGGTGGAGATGGACGTGTCCCAAAGGAGTTGCGGGAATGGGTTGGGTGTGATGTTGCCGTTTCATAATGAAGTGAAGTCCATTGTGTTCGTCTTCCAGTGTTATATGTGATGCACATGTGTAATTGCAGTAACTAGTGAGTTCAGCATGCGTTTTTCCTTACATGCAGTTTCCGATACATGTAGTAGCCGAATTTCTCTATTGAGCAGTGCCACTTAGCATGTGCCCAAGAGGACCCCCACCACCGGCATCAACCGGCATCACCATTAACCACGTGGAGAATTGTCCAGAAAGCATTACAGAACCTTTTGCGCCACTAGAGTGTATGGTTTCTCTTGGCTTCGCTATGTACTTTCACGATATGAATCGATATGCTGTCGGTGAGTGAGGCTTCCAACTATCGTCCTTCGATCGGCCCAGGGCGGCTACGCTTCCATGTACGAAGCGTATCGTGACCAGAAACTCGAGGGTGTTGGTTCTTTTGTTCCAATCCCCCTGGCAAATCCCAGTATTGTACTGATAAACTTACAGACATCGACCATGGTTATCCCCAACTCAGCTTCTTTCAACGTCCAACTCAGCTCCCTTCGGTCGCTGAAAGCCTCGTCCCCAGAAGCAGTCCATGCTCACCACTGGTACGTCTCCGATCCTGGAGACGGCGGCGGATCGCGCCTGGGGCCTCGCCCGAGCCTTACGGCTCTCGGACAGCCACTGGGCAGTCACACAGATTTGAGGGTTGATGGTTTTATGTCACCGTTCGGTGTGATCACGCAGCACGCAATGGCAAAATATGGCCAGATCCAGGACACATGATTCACATGAATTGTTTGATATTATACTTATACCTGTTGTGTTTTTATGTGCTGTTGTTTGAATGTGATCCATTTGCCAACTTGTTTGGACATGTGACAGGGGCGCTTTATCTCTCAGATGGGACAACAAGGAGAGCTGTTTCGTCCTTGTTGCCTCAGGCAACGTCAATGACTTGCTCCTTCTCTCGGTCCAGAATGGTGACGACTACTATGCAGCTGCTTGCACCTGGCTGAAGGCCAATCAGCACGTTTGGGACGAGTGGGTGCCCGACAAGACCAAGTGCTCCATCGGCAGGGGCATGGTGAACTCGCAAGGGGACTTCGTCACATCCCGCGCTGATGCCTGGTTGGAATGCAGAGACGGCGTCACATTCCCCCCAACCTGGTGAATCCACATATTGAGGAAATCCACAGGGGTTTTGCCGATCTGGTCACGAAAGGTAGCTTGAGCTACCTGAGTTCTCCTTGCTTTAGCAAACATGTATTACAATCAGGAGTTGGGATTGTGCATTGAGTTTGGTCCTGTAAGAGTTGATTCTGTTCGTCGGGGGGGCCCCCTGGATCAAATCCCCCCTGCGCCGGTTCACGCCGTCATGGACTTCTACCAGGGTTACTTGTGATTGCCTGCTACCTTTCGTTCACCCCCTCCTCTCTCAAGTGATTGGGTGAACCACCCATGAGTGCAAATCCCAAGGATGCGGTGGATTGCACCATTTGCCCAGCAGGGCGAGCTTCGACGAAGTCCAGTGACTCCAGGTTGTGCACCAAATGCACTCCAGGCTTCTATCAGGGAACCTTTGGCATGTCTGAATGCACCTCGGTCGAGCTGTGGAATGGGCCTGGGGGTGAGAACCGATGTGCCGAAACAGACGCGGAGCTGCCGGATCTGACGAAGACGGATTGACGGTCAGAGGAAGACTATATTGAACCTGGTGCCAGCAGACGGTGCTGTATGCAACATATGTGTGTATTTAAGTATTAATAATATAGTATTAAATAGTAAACCTTTATAATATATACATTAATTGGCGTGTGCTCCTTTATACTATATACATTAATTACGTACTGCAAATACATTGACGTGTGCTCCCCCAAGAACCGACCAAAGCGGTCTTACAAACAGAAACCTATCATTCCAGACCACCCACCTCGGCTATCGCTGCCAGAACACTCTCTTGTTGGTATTTGCCTGCAAAATGCGGGCAAAGAAAACGACATAGAACGCAATGTGTGGAGAAGTCTATGGAGAAGTAATGATCATTATTGTACTTACAGTGTATTTGCAGATTGTAGTCCTCACAACATACAACTCCGCTAATTCCTTTCACCAATGAGATTTCTTGTTCTCTCACATCCTCATCAAACTCACAATGTGCCCCACACAGTATTGCGTAAATAATGCTTCTGCGCGGGTATTCAATTTCATTCGGCGTTTTTAAATCTCCACTAGCAACAATGCTTGATGCTGCATCATTGAGAGACTTGTTTTCATGGAACATGCCTATTTACTAGATTTTACTAGTTACTAGATCACGGCTGCTGACATCATAATGCCTAGTTACCCTTCTCAACTCTAATTGTTTGGCATACATAGCAGCATTCCCAGATCTAGAGACATCATGTTTTACAATTGTAATGTTATATACTTGTTTTTTTGTGCATATTTAATTTGTTCTTAATTTATTTGAGCCTGGAATATTTTGGTTTTTGCGATATGTTTTGTGTTTCATTAATGTTTGATTTTTATCGTTGTTCTACATATGTGAGTTCTTTTTACTAAACGGTGGTTCAGTAAATAAGGCATTGTTTGTTCATTCAAAATTGCGATGCTCAATAGTTAGCACTAAGCCATGTATATGCAAAGATTATCATTCCTTTAAGTCCAACGGTTCAAAAACTAGAGCACATGTCAAGAATTGCAAAGAATATAAATACGTACATTGATGAAATGAAGCAAATGGTTCAAATAGTGTTACAGTAGCTGATGCTAAACTGTAAAAGGTGTAAAACGTATTGTGAGGAAGCAGTGTTACACCACATATTGCCCACAAATGTTTGTGCACAAATGATTGGGATAAGAATTATATGGGATAACTTTTCAATGACATGAAGAACTGAAGAACTCATTGAAGGATTTGGTGGTGGCTTCGAGAATTTTAGAGAAACAATGCAGCAGTAACTATCAAACACCGTGAAATAAGTGTTTGTAGTATATACTGACCACATGTGTTGGTGTTCATTGACTTCACTTTGAGATGTTAAAATAGGAGTCTGAATTTCAATCATTGTGGCTATATAGACAAGAACAAAGTATCAACAAGTTCCTGAATCTATTGCGCTTAATGATCTTAATGTATGCAATATATATATGCTAAAATGTGTCAAAAGGAAGTACGATATGCCTACAATCCGGTTGAGTTATTTCACTTCAACTTGCCAAGTGGAAGTTCAAGGCTTATGAATGAATTGGGCAAATAACATGTACAAATATGCTGTAGTTCTTTGAGCAGACACTTGTACCATCATTTTGCTTAGCGCGTCGCTGATGCAAGTGGAAAGGAAGATAAAGAGCAAAGATTGCGCAATCCAAGCTGGCAAGCCAACATGATAACATCGCTTTCAAGCTCAGCCTGTCATTTAAAGATCAGTGCAGATCACACACCAGACATGATTAAAATACAAGCAACCACAAGTCTGAGACTCTCTGGCGGAGGCTCATCAGACAAATCAAGAAACTCAACATCGAGAAAACAAAAAAGCTCAAGAATTGAACACAGAAGAAGCTACTAGGAACAAGTGCATCGCTTCTAGTAACAAGTGCCTTACTAGTAGTAACAAGAAGCTACTAGGAACAAGTGCATCGCTACACAATATTTCCAGAATTCGGGAAGGGAGGGCCACGGTGGTTCAGGCAAATTCCTGGAACACTGAGAAGACCCTAAAACCCTCGACAAAACAAAAAGACTTGAATATATTAATATGTTTTCTCAAGTTGTTTTCTTGATGTAGGTTGTGATGAGCAGTCCACTACGCCGTAGTTCATCCCCTTAACTGCAGGGCTGCAGTAATGGCCCGCCTGTCCGCCTAGTGTTGCACCCTGGGATTGAACCCTGGTCCGCTAGACCACACCGGCCCTTTGTTTGTGCGATGCTTTTTGAGGAGCATCCTGCAGAGAGAGGAGTTCTGGAATATTGCATATGTTTCTTTGTTCTCGACGTGTTGTGTTGTTGTCGATTTTCTTGAAGTGTCGTCAGTGTCGTGTTGTTTTTGTGTTATTTCTCAATGAGGGGCCTCCTCCAGAGAGTCTTTGTTTGAAATTGAGAAGGTGGCATGGTTTGAGGTAGCTCCTAGGGGTGTGCATATATGTATTATACATATATATATATAATGTTAAGTGCAGTGCTTATAAAGATACATTATACCCATATACACCTCTCAACTGGTGGTCAATAATTGGTACGGGTAATGAGGGTAGCTAGCGTATGCCAGGAGACCGTAAGGGGGGTCTGCAGGTATATCGCTACTAGGAACAAGAACGCTACTAGGGGCTCCTGGCCATACTACTAGTAACAAGAAGCTACTAGTAACAAAGGGCATCGCTACTAGGAACAAGAAGCTAATAGGAGCAAAGGGCATCGCTACTAGGAGCAAGGACGCTTCCTGTAAGCAGTCATTGTTGAACTCTGCAGGCAACCTGTGTGAGCTTGGCACCATGGCTGTCGAAGAAGGTGCCATTCAATGCGATCAGTGTCGGCTCGGAGAATATGCCAACCGCACTGGGATGAGCTTCTGCTACAGGCACCTTTCCCACAAAACTGCGCACGCGGCGAGCGATGAACGTGTGGGCTTTCGATGCTCGGATCCGCGGGATTTTGGAGCTCGATCCGATTTCTCAGTTCATCGGATTGTTCGCTACGAACGGAACAAGGACGCCACGAGTTCGGGGCTCCTGACCTTACTACTAGGAGCAATGTTCGCTACTAGGGGCTCCTGGCATCGCTACTAGGAGCAAGGACGCTGCGAACGGGGCTGTCTCCGGTTGTGCTGGATTGCTTGGGCTTCTTTGCAGACCCTGTTACCTCCGGCTGTGCAGCTGATTCAGCACAAGAGCCTAGCTAGATTGACCTGTGTGACGTGCGCCAAGGTTGAGGTTCTTTTTGATGTTTCTTTTGGGATGTGGCATGGTGTGGCGTATACACTGGAAAGTTTTGGAGTGTCACATTGACCAGCACGGGGGGTCTGAACACCAGGTCCAAAACCGTTGGTACACCATAGGTGCGACGCCGGCCAAGGTGCGGCGCGGGCAGTGGCCAGGAGAACTTATGGACCACCAGCCAAGAGATTGACGCAGAAGGGGAGAGCGTGGCCCGGACGAGATCTGGATTGACGCAGGTGTCGGTCTGGAATTCGGTCTCAGGTGTCGGTTCTCAGGTGTTCTCAGCTTCCAGGGATCTCTGGATCTCTACCAGCCAGAACCACTGCCGTCCATATCCGTCCATGGTCAACAGAGCTTAAGTTTGCGGGGGATGCATTGGCCTCACCCACTGTCGCGAGGTTTTTGTATGTTTTTGTGTTCTTGTAGCCGCCCCCCATTTCCAGCGTCTATTGTACATGACTTTACGATCTCTACCAAAAGCACGCTTTGCTATGCTGCTTTCGGTGATCTCAAGGTGGTGATCAAGCTGCAGGGTGCGGTTTCCGAGTCCTACTGCCACTGTGACAGCGGCACCTTCTTGTGGGAAGGCCGTTGCGAGGCCGGTGCAAGGGGCATTTCAATCGGTGCAAGGTCGTTGGAGGTGACGAGCAAATCCGGTGCAAGTCAAGAGCAAACGCCAAAAAACATCTAAAAGCAGCAACACCCTTGTGCTTTTAGGGTGGAGGCCATCCCTACTATAGGTTGGAGACCATGGCTACTAATGTTTGTTGGTCGTGGGTCATTGTGGGTCTTTCTGGCCAGTGCAAGCCTGTGGATGACCACAAGAAGTGAAGTCGACCGCGATGAGCCGATGAGGGTGGGAAGGCTTGCATTTTTCAAAGAAGCGCCCATGTGGACAGTTCTTGACGACACCATAAAACCTATTCAATCTAGAACTCTGGACTAAAACATTGAGGTATTCTTGGATATGAAGTTGATCCACAGCAGGGTTTACTGAGGCAAAAAAGGCCCATAGTAAGGTCCAGGAGAAGACTGTACGGCCTTTCTGGGAGTTCTGATTGGTGCTGAAGTGCTCATCATAAGGGCGGCATTTGCGGCATATGTAATGCGCATAGGCCGCATAAACATAAAACCCTGAAAACCCCACACATATGAAAAGCGCGTCATTGCGTTCAATGTTGTTTGTTCTTTTGGAGGGGGTTCTGAACGTACATACCAACTATATATACTAATTCAGTATACGTTTGAACTACGCTGCTCGCTCCCTCACAGACCATGTGTGGTCCTCCGCGCCCGTGCGTGGCGCGCACAGCGCGTTGCCCTCGGTTCCACGCCGTTGGGGAACACGTTGGGAAAGATGCGTTTGTAAACCCGGCGCATCAGCGGGACTCACTCATACCCACCTACCCACACCGCCAACTGACTCGCAGCAACTTACACTTGCCAACTGACTCATGCCAGCTTGCGCACACCATCCTCTCCCCTTGCTCTATCCTCTCGATGTTTGCTTTGTAAAAACTAGTCATGCGGGGTTACCCGCTTTTTAGTTGCAGCCTGGCCACGGAACTCCCGAGGTCACAATCTACAGTTCAGCATGGTCCAAAATCACCCCCCCACCCACACTACCCCCTCATGAGGCCTTCTTACCCAATGGAGGCGGTTAGAACACTTGGAGGTTTCGTGTGCGTTGCGATGCAGGTCTGCATGGAGGGTGCCAGCTGTGTGGGCGCAGACCGCTTGGAACTGTCCCTCACGTGGCAATCGAGTGATTTACGGATCGAGGTCGTTGTTCGCTGTTTGCAGATGTTAGTATAGCGTCCTTGTTCCTAGTAGAAATGCCAGGAGCGCCCCTAGTAGCTTCTTGCTACTCAGAATGGGCAGATGTTGGTTTGGCAAACGACCCATAATGCTGCCAGCATCTCATTGGTCGCTCGACAGCTCATAGGGTGAGGAATTCGGCACATAGGGTCGCATGGACTTTGGACCGTGGCCGGCCGAATTCGCTCTGTTCCTGGCCGCTGTCCTCCATGCATCGAATCAGCCTCACCGAGGTTGCCGGGGTATTTCTCAAGGGAAGAATTGCCTGGCGATGTCTACAATTGCTTCGATGAACGGATTTGCCCAGGCTGGCAGTTGTTTGGGTGGAACCACTTTCTGGAACTAGGAGAAGGTGCGTTTCATGCTTTAAGATGCTTTGCGGCCCAGGAAGTCATGTATGTGAGTGGTGAGTCCTTGCTTCTGTTCCGGGGGCAGAATTGCGGGCTCCGCTTCCTTCCGCATGGATGGTCCTACGCCAGGCGGGCCTGCAGGCACTTGCGCTGCAGGCCGCGATACCTCCTCGGTGGCCTGTGCTGATTGCAAGGACGGCAGTGGTTTTCTCCGGGGGCATCTAGATCAACAAGAGAAATTCAGAATCAAACATAATCTAGAGTAGCTCCCATCGCTATTAGCTTGGAGGCCATCGCTACTAGGGAGGCCATTGTGAGTAATCGATAGTAGAATCAATTCAGTAGGTCCCCTAGTCCATCGCTCGCCTGGTCCGGTCCGATCCTTGTCCTGGTCCACTGGCCTCGTGGTGCTTGCAAGACAAAAGAGCTACATGGGACGATACGTCAGAAATTGTATTTTAAAAGTGTCTACTTGGATGCCAGGGCATCTAAATCAATTTGGTATGCCGCGCTCTTTGTGGTGAATTATCCTTGAAGACGACTTCTGACTTCTGATTTCTTAAACTGTCGTTCTCTACCTGAACAGCCAGGCTTGAGCATTTGCCCCACATGCTGTAGACATGTTTGCACACAGAAATCAAGAACGGAACGAGCTCACAAAACATCACTTCAGCAGCCACATCCGACATCCTACCTGGAGGATGTCGGATGTGGCCATCCGGGAGCAGATGTGGGGTGGCCTGGCGAGACCTCTTTTTCTTTTGAAAATAAGCGTTGTTTTGTACTGAGAAACTTCAGAAGGTTACAAAGTTGCAAGTTTCTACTTTGAGGTTCCGGGTTGGCCTTCAAGAAGGCTATAAGCACAAGCCCGAAATGTTTTGGACGCCGGTGAAGGAAAGAACACACTTCATTCGCAAAATGCGATTGACAAGTATTCCGTAGCTTTACTATTTCCAAAAGAATTGGAAGGCTTTACATTGGGCCAAAGATCGTGTTTGGATAATGGAGAAGTTCGCAGTTGGTGGAGAAGTGGAGTAAGTAGATGGGGTGGAGGTGAAGATGTGGCGCAGGGGCCTTACCAACATGTGACGCAGGGGCTTTTTGCATGTTTGATGTTTCTGGACATGATTTCCTCCATATGGCATAATCCATCTCAGATTAACCTTGCTCGGCTTTGCACTAGGGTTACGGAAGCAGGCAAGACAACCATTGAGCATTGGGGTTGAAGAAGAAAGAAATTGCGGCAGTCGGCAACATGTACTGTACTATTCCCTCTCTTGATTCGTTGTCGGTCTTGATTATTCCATCGCTTCACTGGTTGTTGGTCGTGATTATTCCATCTCTATCCCTTCTTTTTATTGCCCCCCGTGGTCGCGATATCTTCTACAGTACCCCTTGTCTTTCGCATAGCAATAAAAGTAATTTTTCAGGAGTTTGCGAGGGATACATATTTCTGTATATATCCACTATGACTATATCTATACCAGTATTGTCAAGAGCATATACAGTAGCAAAGTCAAAGCAAGGGGGTTGTTTTCAGAGTCCACGTCAATGTTGGGGAGGGACATGGGATTGGCGAGCAAAGTGGCTTTAGCAAAAGGCAATGCAGGGCAACCAAAAATATCAATCGCTTGGTGATGATTCCCATGTGCCTCCAAGATTCTGCTAAGTCCGTCCGCCAAGATTCTACATGTTAATACTGTAGTATAACAGTATCTGACTTGCATTTAAGATAGATCAAAAGTACGTATAGCTATTTTCCCTCTAAACAAGCCCCAGCAGCAGCAGCAGCCACCGCCGCTGCTGCTGCCACCATCCAGGCAGGGACCTGGGAGCAGGCAGGTGAGTGTGATCTTCCATGAGGGTTCTGGTTGGAGGGATTCTGAACCATCACCAGGTTGGTGTGGTCTCCTCACCGGAAGATGGTTCCAATCACAGGTGAAGGCTAAATTAAACGGAGGGTGTGTGGAGAAAGGGGGTCAGCAAAAATCACTTCTATGAAGTTAGTGCATCAAAAAGACCTTCCATGAAGTTCTGCGAAGGTTTCTGGGATTGCATGGCAGTCAGTTCTCCTACTGGCCCACAATTCCATGAACTGTCCATGAACAGCCTTGGGTTCTATGAAGGTCACACGCCTTCTTCCATGACGTTAGTAGAATAGGTTTTTGCAAAACCCTTTCTGTGCACTACCCTTCCGTTTGCCTTTGAACAGAAGATGGTTCCATTCCACCCTGCCCGATAGATTCATTTTCACCAATCCATAGCCAGTGCAATCTGCTTGATGATCTTTGCCACCACCGGCACCGGCCACGTGTTCCCAGCAGCCCCCATCACTTTGGATGGGGACACTCCCATGGCCACCGCCAGATCTGCAACATCACCAGGAATACCCTGAAGTCGTAGGCATTCCTGGAGATGAGCGTTATAAGGGCCAATCCAACTTATCTAAAGATATACTTGGGGATGTAACACCCATCAAAACACATTGTATTTGGGAACACAAGGGTTGGATTTGGTGACCACACAATAATATAATATGGTCAGACCAAAATAGGAAAACAACGGCCTTGCACAAACTACCAAGATCAGGTTTGTCAGCCAAAACCCTCCACCGGCAGCCCTGGTCTTCGTGAGGGTGGGCGATAGAGGCCCCTTTCCTGAATGTACATGGGGGGTACCTTAATGTACAAGGCCACATTTGTACATTTTTTGAGCTGTCCACCTGCCCATGTCCCGGTAGCCATTTAATGCCATTTAAACTTGGCTGAAGTACGATGACAATCAACAGGTTGATTAACGCAGGGCTTTCACTGGCTGGCATGTTACAAAGTCATCCATACCCCCCTGTTGCAGGCATTGAGTACTGTTAATCTTTGACACACACACATTGTTTGGTAAAGCATTTTAATACTTGTTTAACGTACTTGTTTCACGTACTTGTTTAATTTAACGTCCTTCTGCATGGCGCAAACATGGATTTCGATGATCTGGACGAGGCGCGGCAGCGACCATGCGACCACACACCGTGGAGACCGTGGGGACTGTGGGGCCGACGGTGCCCTTCCCTCCTTCCTTCCCTTCCATTCCGTTCCTCCTTGTGGACCCAGCATTCCTTGCAGATGTTGCCTGTTGATCGAATGTATGTAAATGTATGTCTTCCTTTTCTTTCCGCACATGCTGCCAAGAGTTACTTGGTAGTTGAACAATCACAACAGAACAGAACATCAGAAGATGGTACATGCAACAACGCGAGAAACAATTGTGTAGAAACCCGTGGGCCAACCCAGAGATCAGCAAATACATAGTGTACATGAAACATGAAGAGGCCTTACAAATGATCAGCCGAAAACGCCTTCCACTGGCCAAAAACTGCTTCGGCCAACGCAACCACTTAAATATTAATATAAAACATAAAAATAAAACACCCCCCCTGGACCAGGACTTTGACTTGATTTGGCTTGGGGGGACAATGGACCCGCCCCATGGACGACCAAGCGTTCGCTCTGTCAGGCCCCCGCAGTGCGTGCCGCCGCCGCAGAGAATCTCTCCGCCGAGAGGCGGAGTGGCACGGCGCGCGACGGCGCTCAGCGCAGCACCGGCACGGGTCGCGCGTGGGGTGTGGCCCGGCGGTTCCAAGAGGCAAAGTTCCAAGGTTCATATGGAACTTTCATGAACTTTCAGCTGCCCATGGCTGCCCCATGCTTACCATTGTTTACCCTGGTTACCCAGGCCATCCCAAGCACTCTGGTTATCTTTGGTTCAGGAAACCTCGCCTCTGGTTCGTTTCACAAAACCCCTTTGCTTTGCTTTTTTCTCCGCGCGATGGGATGCATCGAACGCGCGCAATGTTCGAAAGTGTGGAGGGATAAATAGGAGGTTTACAGGTGGGAATTCACGAGGAGAGCTGATACTTTGATGTGCGTAGGGTAAGGTCTGTCGGCATAGAGGACAGCAACACAGCCTCTGCAAACGAGTCGGGAAGTTGCAAAAAGCAAAAGGCAAAGACCTCCGTGTGTTGCAGTCCGAACATGCCCCCAGGTGGAACATGTAGACAGAACACCTGTGGTCATTCAGGGTTTCAATTCGCCATTTACAGAGGCACTGGTGGGGCAGAAAGCAGAGATCTCTTGCAGCGTAACAGACAATAGGCAATCCAATACGCAACGGTGCGGTGCAATATTACTTCTGTTATCTTCCGTTTCCTTTCTTTCCAACGCGGTTTTCGAAGTCTCTCCTATGATGCCCCACGGCCTCTTTGACTGCGAACAGGAATGCCAGCGTGTAGCCCAAGAGTTACATGAGACTGCAGCTGACTCGGCACTCGGCACCGGAAAGAGTGGCACATGCATCAAACAAGCTTACTAGTAACCAGAACTAGACTGTCTCAGAAGCTTACTAGACAATCTTTGTTTTCTCTTTAGTAACAAATAGGCAGGCTTACTAGTAACTAGAAGCTTCCTTGCGAATCGTTTGACTGCACCTGACTCGGCACCGGAAAGGTGCATGTTTGTTTTCATTTGTTTTCCCCTTCAGCTGTACTCAGGCGTCTTTGAGCATTCTGGGGGTGAATGGTGCCAGCCTTGGTGTTTCGCGTCAACACGCGTCAACGGATGTGGGGCGACCGGCTGAGGCGAGCGCCAAAATGCAGCGCGGAATAGAGCGGAAGATTTCTTGGATTCAACCTCTGGACACTTTTTTGCTAGCTGAAAGCTCTAGGGCTCTGAAAACACTTTTTCCTTTGGTTGTTTTTTGGGACAGGATGCATTTTTGGAGGGTCTGTCCTCCAGAGTCGTTTCTTTTCATCCGGATGCACAAAACGGACCAGTTCTTAGTCCGGTTTGCAGAATTCGGCATGAAACACCACCAGCTTCGCCGGTTTTCCCTGGGCCTTTCCAAGGCCCAAGTTGGCGCGAGTGACACAGGAGAGCTGCACGAGCTGCACGACCGTGGGGCTTGGGGAGACCTGTTTGGAAGAATTTGGAAGAATTCAGAATGATTTAAAAGATTTTAAAAGCATCTTTCCCATGATCCAAGTAGAGTCCCCCGTGATAAAGAGAGACCTGTAGAGAGACCGGTTGTATCAAGAGTGCATCCTCGCTCGCAACAGCGGTCTCAAGATGTCTCAAGGGGGTTCGGTGGTTTCACGCGTTTGCTCATCTGTGATTCTGGCAGGACTCCCTCATGAGAGTTCAGC